ATTTCAGACATAAAAATAATACAAATATAACAAATGCAGGAGTGGGCAAAAGGAGGTTTACAGTTGTGAATGTTTAAAAATCTCTGTATGGACAGGGCCACGATGTGTCTACACGATGTAGTTACAGCGAAGCAGCATCTTCTGACAGGGAATAACTAATGGCGGTGAGTAATTCTGATAGGGAATGATTTCTAGTCTGGAGTTACATCCAGCTGAATCCCACTGACAGTGGACAGAAGACATTTTCAGACATGAGTGGTTTAAAAAAAATAAAAAAGATCTCCCATACATGCTTTCTCAGGCAGCTGCTGGAGAATGTGCTCCAACCGTAAACCTCCTTTTGCTCACCCCTGTATAATACGTAATGAAATATTATGATTTATATTACAAGCCCCTCTATCTGCCATTGAGATCACTAATACAGTTGAAGTCCTTCCTTAATAGCATGTCTCCTTCTCAAGATGTGTCTTGAAATCTGTTGTTTATCCTCACTGTGCATTTCTTTATTCTTTCACTGCACAAAATATGTTAATATATAACATTGTGAATTTCTGAAAAAAATTCCTATATAGACAGTGGCGTGATGTCTTTATCTTTCTGCCGTCTGTCCTGCTCAGCGCTGTTTGTGAGTCATCTTTGCTGAGTGTGGCCCCTTATTTTCATCGCTGCATGATAGTTCACTGTTTGCTGCATCACAATTATGTACCTATTCTTCTGTCCATAGTATTTAGGCTGTTTCCAATTTTTAGCTAATACAATGGTATCGCTCCATACATTCTGTGCATGACTCCTGGAGTCCACATGGAAGAACTTCTGTAGGGAGATGGTTCTTGGTTCTGCTAGTGCACTGGAGTTCCATGGGGAGCTTTAAAATATCCTGATGTTGCTCTGGCTGGTGTGGCTCAGTGGATTGAGCATCGGCCTGCTAACCAATTCGATTCCCAGCCAGGGCACATGCCTGGGTTGTTGGCCAGGTCCCCAGTTGGGGGCGTGAGAGGCAACAGATTGATCTCTCTTTCACACAATGACGTTTCTCTCCCTCTCTTTCTCCCTCCCTTCCCCTCTCTCCGAAAGTAAATGGCCTGCAACCCAGGCATGTGCCCTTCCTGGGGATTGAACCAGTGACCCGTTGCTTTGCAGGCTGGCGCTCAATCCACGGAGCCACACCAGCTCGGGCAATAAATCTTTAAAAAATAAATAAATAAAAGATCCTGATGTCAAGGCTGTGCCTCGAATTGATTAAACCGGAATCTGTGGGGGGGAGTCCAGCAGGAGTGCTTGCATAGCCCCCCAGGTGACTCCAACGAGCAGCCAGTGGTGAGAACCCCTTCCCTAGACCAGTGCCACTCAAAGGGCGGTCCTCCAGCCAGGAGCACGGGCATCGTCACCTGGGAGCTCGTCAGACGTGCGCTCTCAGCCCCCGGCCCAGACCGAGCGAGTCGGTGAGAATCTGTTTCAGCACGACCTCAGGTGCCGGGTGTCACGCTGCGGCTGCAGGCCATGGGCATCTCCACCTTCAGGTCCTGCCCTCTGCTGCTTGTGAGGGCGGTGGCCGTCCACGCGGCTGTGATTTCATGTCGCGGTGCCGGGCACTTGGTGGGTTCTCTCTCTAGGGAGCTTGTTTCTTTCAGCTCTAGGAAATATTCTTGTATCATTTCTTCAATAATTTTCTCTCCTGTGTTTTGTTTCTTGGTTTCACATTCCTTTTAGTTGGACATGGAACCTTCGGCACTGCTCTTACCTTTCGGTTGTCCGATTTTCTTGACTTTTTCCTTCTACTTTTACATCTTTGTTTTTGTGTTTTACCTTCTGGGAGATTTTCTCTCGTTTTCCATTCCTTCTAATGTATTTTTAAATTTCTGCTATTATAGGAACCCACTGTATGGGAGAACATATTCACCAAGGCTGCATCTGATAAGGAGTCAATTTCCAAAGTATGTAAAGAACTTATACAACTGAGCACCAGGAAGACAAACGATCCAAATACAAAATGACAAAGGACCTGAATAGGCATTTCTCCAAAGGGGACATACAGATGGCCAAGAGACATATGAAAAAAATGCTCACTGTCACTAATCATCAGAGAGATGAAAATTAAGACTACAATGAGATGTCACCTGACATCTGCCAGAATGGCTACTGTCAATGAAGCAAGAAACAAGTGCTGGCGAGGCTGTGGAGAAAAGGGACCCCTCGTGCACGGTTGGTGGGAGTGCAGACTGGGGCAGCCACTGCGCAAAGTGGGATGGAGGTTCCTAAAAGATTAAAAATGGATCTGCTTTTTGACCCAGCTCCTGGGAATACATCCTAAGAATCCCAAAACACCAATTCAAAAGAATATTCATAGCAGCATTATTTATAATAGCCAAGACCTGGAAACAGCCGAGTGCCTGTTAGTGGATGAGTGGATAAAAAAGCTGTTTTGCATTTACACAATGGAATACTATGCGACCATAAAAAAGGAGGAAATTTTACCTTTTGCGACGGCACGGACGGACCGGGAGGTTAGTATGCCAGGTGAAAAAAGCCAGTCAGAGAAAGACAAGTACCATATGATCTCACTTATATGTGGAATCTAATGAACAAAATATCCTGATGAACAAAATAGAAAGAGGCATGGACACATGGGACAGACTGACAGCTCTCGGGGCAGGGGAGGGCCGAAAGAGGGCGAAGGGAGCCCTGGCTGGCGTGGCTCAGTTGGGTGTTGTCCCACAGAGCGAAAGGTCAAGAGTTTGATTCCTGGTCAGGGCACATGCCTAGGTTGCAGGTTTGGTCCCCAGTTGGGAGCAAGAGGCAACCAACTGATGCTTCCCTCTCACACTGATGTTTCTCTCCCTCTCTTTCTTCCTCCCTGCCCCTCTACTAAAAATAAATAAATAAATGTTTTAAAAGGTGAAGGCATTAGCCAAAGAACATATATGCACAACCATAGACGCAGACAGCAGTGTGGAAAATAATTTTCTGCTATTACTCGTATATTTTCACTTTTAAGAGCTTTAACGTTTCCTTTTTAAAATAACATGATTTTTCCTCTTTCATGGGCATCTTCAGAGGGTTGTGCTCTGACTCTTCTTCTGTATCCTGGAGTCTCTGTATTTTGGTTGTTGGTTTTGGTCCGTTGGCGCCCTTGGCTGTTCCCACCGAGTGCAGTGCAACGCAGCTGACGGGAAGCTCTGTCTACGTGGGCAGGGCTGGCAGACCGGGTCTCACCATGGCGACTGGGCAGAGGCTGGGGAATCAGCCACGTCAGGCTCTGTCCAGCTTTTCTCCTTGGTCAGTTTCCCAGAGAGACATTCCATAGTGTCCTGCCCTGGGGAACAGGCCCTGCTGTTAGCGGGGGAAGGGCACTGAGGGTCTCCCCCGTGACCCATAGCCTTGCCTGTCTTTGCCTCTTGATCTAGACTCTTCCTAGCTCATCCCTGGCCAGCAGTAAACCTCTCTTCTGCCAGGGTTGGGGAAAGGCAGGGCAGTCAAAGGCTGTGTGGGCTGGGACAAGGGTCTTGAGGGTCTCACCACTTCTTCCAAGCAATACTACTTTCACATCCGTCCTGAACTTCCGCCTCAGGGACACCTGGTCCTTCCAAGTTCTAAGCACTTGGGGGATTATGCAGAGCAACTGGGCTTGTTCACTGTTGGCTTTTCTCTTGCCGACATTTTGGGAAGTAGTGAGAGCTGGCACTAAACAAGTTATACTCTCTACCTTCCAAAGTTTTCAGACCTTTCTTTTTTAAAAACTTTTATTTATTGATACTTATTTTATTTTTTTAAGATTTTATTTATTTACTTTTAGAGAGAGGGGAAGAAAGACAGGCAGGGAAACATCAATGTGCGAATGATACATCGATCAGTTGCCTCTCCCATGCCCCCAACTGGGAATCTTGCCTGCAACCCAGGCATGTGCCCTGACTGGGATTCAAACCAGTGACCTCTCGGTCTGCAGGTGGGCGCTCAATCCACTGAACCACACGAGCCAGGGCTACTTACTGATTTTAGAAAGAGAGGAACATCAGTGCGTTGTCCCACTCGTTCATGCATTCATTGGTTGATTCTTGCATGTGCCCTGACCGGGGACTGAAGCCGCAACCTTGGTGCGTGGGGACGACACCCTAAGCAACTGGGCCACTCGGCCAGGGCCAGGTCTTTCTTATTTGCTGCCATCACCTCCCCTCTCTTTTTGCCTTTGTAGTTGATGCCATTTTCATTCCTTGATGCCACGTTAGTGGGAGTTTGCGGGGAGCAGAGAAAATATGTTCAGTCCACCATATTTAACCAGAATTCCCGGTCCATTTTATGAACATTTTTACATATGCACATATAAGTTTGTATAACTCATTTTGATTATTTGTATGTATACTTAAGTTTTGTTTTGGTTTTTTTTTTTACACAGATGGCCTTGCTTTTTCCACTCAATGTTAGGTCTGTGAGCTCTTCACACACACAGTCCCAGTTCATTCCTTTCACCGCAGCTTAGGAAGTATCCCAGCAATCAACATATCACATTTTTTTCCATCCATTTTTCTACTGATGCAGCTCAGAGACACAAGCGATTGTGGCCTTTTGATGAACACACTGGCTCACTGCAAATCCTAATCTTTATTTTCATTCTGAGGCATAACTTGTCACCGGAAAGCAGTGAGGTATTTTTTTATTTATTTATTTTTATTTATTTATTTATTTTTAACCACCTGCCAGTAGCAATGGCGAAAAAGCTAACGATAGGGGCCTGAGAGTCTGGAGAGAAGGCCCTCCAAGGGCCGGCATGGGGGCTGAGGGGGGCCCGGGGGATGGGTGGGTACAGACGACACACACACAAGCCCACATTTATTCTCTCTTCAGGGAAGGGTTTTCTAGAAGCATTTGTCCATACTTTGGATTAAGTATTTTTCATGCCAAACTGAGGAGAAGTGAATTAAAGGCCTAGGGGAGCCTCCGGCCCCAGCTGGGGACAGGCAGAAGGCTGCTCTTTTCAGCGAGTGAATTCACAGCCTTCTCAGCTCCGCAAGCGGCGGGGGGTGGGGGGGTTGGGGGTGGCGAGGCGAGAGAACTAGGGAGGCCGAAGGAGGGGTTCCAAGGACAACAAAAAGCCAGGTTTCTACAGCAGCTCCAGAGCCACCCAGGGAGGGGAGGGTGCTGCTCCAGCTCCCAGAGCTACAGGCAGAGGGAAAGGGTGGGCGAGTCTCACCCCACCTGCTCTGGGCTCCACTGCTGTCTCCAGGGGCCAAGCTCAGCTTTAAAGGATAACGCTCTGGGCTGGACTTTTTCTTCCATTAACACAAACATGGAGCAAGCCCGCCAGGTGCCCTCTGACACCGCAGTGCAGGTGGGGGCCCTGTGGTGGGTCTGAGGGCCCTTCCAAGCCTAACCCAAGACGGGAGCCAACTTGAAATAAACACAGGGGTAGACTGAGCGGGGGTCGGGGGAGGACAATAAATAAGGGTTACGGCTGAGTGGAATGGCTGGGTAGGGGGAGAGGAGGGCTCCCAGGAAAGAAGAGGTGCAGAAAGGCACTGAGTGGGGGGCAGCGGACTTAGCCCCCCGAGACACTGGTTTGTTGAGTCAGGGGTCACGTCCGACAGGGTTGGACGCGCGGCCTCCTGGGCTGGTCAGGAAGGAGCCAGGAAGCGTCTGGCTCCAGCGTGTGTGCGCTCTTTCTCTCTCAGCCTCTTCCACTTGGAAAGCCCGCTCCATGCGCCAGACAGGCCTCTGCCGGGGGCAGACAGAGGGGGTCATCGGAGGCCACGTCAACGGCGGGGACTCGCCCTGGTGTGCCTTTTGCCTTTGGGGGAGAGGAAAAAAGGCCACAATAGGGTGAGCAGAGACAGGGCACCTCCCTGGTGACAGCTGGACCTTTGGGAATGAAGTGGAGGTGGCAGAGGGAAGGAGGGCTGCTTGCTGGCACAGCACCACACCCGAGGCAGCTTCCCTGTGTGAAACTAATGGGGCTGCCGGCGAGGGCTGGGGCCGGCGCCCCGGGCAAAGCCCTGCTCCGCTCTGCTGCGCCAGGGCGGGCGCGGGCAGGCTGTCTGCTCCCCCCGCTTCAGTGTGTCATCAAAACCCCGATCATGAACACAGGGGATCTGCTGCTGCCAGGCAGGGCAAACAGACATGGGAATACACAGCTTTCTTCCAGGTTGGTCCTTTTCAGGTTGTGTCTCAAGCCCTGGAACCCTCTCTATGCACTGGCCACGCAGCGTCCCCCACTTATTACTGGACGTTTCCTAAGACCTGCTCAGGGTGGGCACTCCACAGGGACCCTGCCTTTTACCCTCCCTGCAACCCCGTGAAGGACATGATGTGGTCCCTACTTTATGGGCAACAGAGTTGGACACAGAGAGATCAGGTGTTAGGTTGAGTCATATTGAATTGCCAATATGCAACTAGTTTTTATCTATAAAAATGCAATTTCATATGGTTCAATCTGATGGCTTGCCCCAGTTTACATGTCTATCGGTGGTGGGGCTGGGACTAGAACTCTGGCCTCCTTGGTTCCAAACTGCGCCCCCCCCCCACCCCCACCAGGATTTTAGGAGGCCAGAGGGAGGGGTGGGGGCACGCCCTCGGCGGTTCCCTCCCCCTCAGACCTGCCCACTTGCCGTATCTCTCTTGTGGCCCGCCCTGCAGCTCCTCCGGAATTTAGGCCAGGAAGGGGGAGAAGGTGAGGTGGGGGGAGGGGGAGGGGAGAGAGCAGGGAGTGGGGAGTGGGTGAGACCACGCGCTGGTTTCCTGGTGTGTGACTGCCTGCACACCTGGGCTCCAGCAATGAAAGACCTGGGAGATGGGCCGCCACGCTGAGCCTCACATGCGCCATGCGCACCGCGGACCCTCCGGCCCCAGGGGCGCCAAAGCCAGCTGGGGCTTCTTTCTTGACAGAAACTAGGGCCGACCATCACTTGCACAATTTTCTCTGGCTCGAGTGTGAGGACACCTTCCCCCGACCCACCCCGCTCGTGGATCCCAAGCTGGCTGGGCCAGAACAGCAGGCACGGAGCTGGCTGGGCCAGAACAGCAGGCACGGGGTGGGGTGGGAGCCTAGATTCTTGTCCTTGGTTTCCACACTGATCATATAGGGGTGCCAAGCCCCCCCAGCCCCAGTCCTCCAATAGAACAAAATTTGACCTTGGCAGGGCAAGGGCAGGCCGGCTCCAATGCCAACAGCTTCAGTGGTCCCCAATTCTCCCCCTGATTTGGGCCTGCCCTGGCCTGGCTGGGCTGTTTTGGGTGAGATGATTCGGCTTCCTCCGCTACATGGTAGGTTTCTGGGGGTGCAGGACTGTCCCCCACAGCACCTAGGGCCCTGGCTGGGCACACTGTGGGGCTTGGTGAGGGTTGGACTTTTGAAGCATAGTAGGTGCTTTTGAAATAGGAGTTACTGTGACTGTTATGGAGAGAGGGATGTGAAAGCTGACAGATTTTACAAAGCTGAGGATGACAACAGCCATTGTAAAAATCACTGATAATGCGTAAGGGGATGTGAGCCATGGCTGATTTGCAGCTTCTCTCTGTTGATTGCAGGCAGGGTGGGGCCTGGCACCTCTGTTCCCCCAGTGCCTGCCCAGAGCCCAGTGAACATAGAGAACTGAAAGCCTCGCCTACCACCTTGCAGTCTGGGAGGACTGGGGGAGAGGAGGAGGGCCTGGGGGACAGGGGGCTGAAGAGGGAGAGGTGGCGGGGGGCGGGGGGCAGAAGAAGTGGCTGGGTACTCACCGGGGCCCTTTGGGTCGGGCCCGGGAGGGGCGCCCGTCTGCGGGCCTGCAGAGCCTGCCCCCGCCTCGCTGGCCAGGCTGCTCTGGCTCCCCGACAGGTGGCTGGGTAGGTGGGCGAGCTCCATCTTGGGGGACTCCATGCTGCCACCTCCTGCAAGAGACCATGTATGAGCCCAAACGGCTCCGTGCTGGGCCCTTTGGACCTTAAACTGAAACAGGGATGCTCTCAGCCTGACTGAGCCAACATAAAGCCTTCTCTGGGAGGAGGTCACGCAGCCTTTGTACCAGGGTAGCATCCCGGAGCATTTCATTCCAGTTTGGGGCAGGTATTATATAGCTTTCCTAGGCACTGAAATCAGCCTCCCTGAACCATCTTTCCAATATCCCAGTTCTCACTTCTGGAGTAACTCTGAGTAAAGCGGCCCTTTCCCCAGGAAGGCCCTTCGTGTATTTAAAGGAGAAGAAAATGTGCCCTCCAGGCCTTGTCTGCACTAGCCCCAAGGCCCTGGTTATTTCTCTCTCTTTTTTAAAGATTTTATTTATTTATTTTCAGAGAGAGGGGAAGGGAGGGAGAACGAGAAGGAAACATCTGTTGGTTGCTTCTTGCACGCCCTCAACTGGGGACCTGGCCCACAACCCAGGCATGTGCCCAGACCAGGAATTGAACCGGTGACCCTTCCATTCACAGGCTGGCACTCAATCCACCGAGCCACACCAGTAGGGGCCCCAATTAGTTCTCCTTCAAACAGCAGGGTCACTGAGGAGAGCTCAGAGATGTTAAATTCTAAAGGCACTTTGGAGACCATCTGCTCCATCCTGCTTGTGCTAACTAGCAGGAAATAGAGGCCCAGGAGGTCCTAGTACGTATGGGGGTTCACACTGCAGGCTGACGGCAGAGCTGAGCTGGTCCAGAGAACTTTGTCCCCGACTTTCACAGCCTCACCATTCACGAGGCCAAGTCTCATTTGGGACGCTCACCGGGAGCTGGGGGAGGAAGCCCAGGTGTGCAGGCCAAGTGTCAGGGAGGCCATCGGACCTGGCCCCTCCCTCCACTGAAGACACACCCCAGCCTCCTTTCGGCCCTGCTCTTGAGTGGCGCTAAGACTTCAGCGCCCAGTCGCCGCAGCCCCAGGCCCACTTCTTCCTGACCCAGGAAAGCTCTGCGGACGCCTGCCGGGGGGCGCGGGCCCAGGGAAGCAGCGAAGCTGCCTGCGCCGGCAGCGGGGTTCCCACGCTTACCTGATTCCCTGCAGGACTTGTCGCCTTTCAGGTCTCTGACTCCAGTGGGCGGGGGTCTGTCCTCCAGACTGGAGGAGCTGAGATCTGAGTCGCTGTCACTGTTGCTGGAAACCACTGGAAAGAACAGACACCAGCACAGGAGGTCACTGCTACTGGCCACCACCAGCAGGCATATTGGACAGAGGGGGCCCAGGCAGACCGCCCTCCTGCCAGGACAAAGTGGCACAGAACCTCTGCTGGCCCATGTTTGGGGCGCAGGGACAATGGCCTGGGGATGGGGCAGCAGGCTACTCCCTCCTGCCAGTCGGAGGGGAGCCCTAATGTGAGGAGGCTGGGACTCAGGCCCCGCACGACCGGCACCAGCAGGGAGAACTCGCCCCTTGGCCAGCCATCTCCACATGTCACCCGTTCCCGGTGGTGGAACCAGAGTCTGTCACTGACAGGAGCCAACGATCCCCTTCAGTGAAGGCACAAGTGCTCTGAGCCCTGCCCCTGGCCACGCCGAGAGGCACGTGGCGATGCTCTGTAGTCACGGTGATGCCGGCCCTCGCTGACCCTTACGGAGCACTCCTGGCGCTCGCACGTGCTAACCCACTGAGGCTTCGGAACAACCCTGTCAGGTCGGAAAGAGCCTTACCCCCATTCTGCAGGTGGGGAAACTGAGGCCCTTGCCCAATGGAGAAAGTGGAGGAGCCTGGATTTTACCCCTGGCAGTCTGGCTCCACAGCCTGCGTTCCTAACCGCTCGGTTCCACGGGCAGGATGGGCCTGGGGGCCGGCGGCCTGGGCTCTCTTCCCGCTTCATCCCGGTTCAACTCACAGCGGGGACTCGTGGATGCGGCAGGAGGGAGCCAGGCCGATGGGGCTGGAGTACCAGGACAGGGGAGAGGAGAAAATCCCTCACAGTGAACAACACCCACTGTGGTAGAAATCCTCTTTTCTGGACTAAATGGCACCATATTTGGCTGGTTTGTCACTGGTGGGAGTCATAATATGGGATATATTCATATGTTAAATGTTCTATTTTAATTTTAAGCATTTGCCAATCTTTTGCTGTAGAGCTTGGGTGCTCCTTTGGGCTTGGGTCCACCCGGCCTGTCATGTCCGAACTGCATGCCCGCTTGGCTGCCTGTGAGCTCCAGGTCCTGGGTCTTTACGTTGGAGCCGCGCTTAAAGGAGGGGGGCAAAACAAGGTGAGGGCACAACCCTCTACTTTTCTATTTCTTTCTCCTGTTTTTTATAGCTGTCCTGCCCACATCTAATTCAATAGCTATTTTAAGGAAGTGGCTTCTACGAAGACCTTCCAAAGTCTTGCTTTTCGCGAGACAACTCTGCCTTTTCTGATTCTTTTCATCAATTTATATAACGTTTCATTAAAGGACGTAATTGTAACAAATGCGACTGCACAGCAAGGTTTGGAATTACAGGCATGCAGCTCTGACAGGCGGCGAGCTCCGGGGATGGGGTGATAAGACCAGGGTATCTAATCCAGGGGTGCAAACGCTGGCACAGGGCGAGGTTAGGAGGGCTGAGCGCTGGCTGCCAGGCACTGCACTGGGAACCTAGCGAGCATGATCTTATTCAGTCTGCCAAACAGCCCTGTGCCACAGGGACCCATTTGGTGGGAAATGGGATTGGAAACAAAATTGATCTACACCAAGGGTGGCTAAGAAGTGTCATCGGACCCGCCAGGTCTTTCTGGAGCCGCTTGAAAGGAGAAGGCTGAGACTGCATTAACAGCCAGCAAGAACCAGAGCCCGGTCGGTCAGGGAAATCTGCTGCAGGCACTGGAGGGGAAATGGCAGGACCTATGCCCGTAGCTTCCACCTGGGTCTACAGCCTTCTGGAAAGCCTTCATACCTTCAGCCTCTGTCACCTGTGAGCTAAAGGGGGTCACAGGTCCAAACCAAGCAACCAAAGGGTTGGAGCTCACCGACCACTTCAGCTCTAAGAGATTCTCAACCTTGCGCTTCCATAGCAGAAGGGCTGGCATATAGTAGGTGTTTTGTGAAGCTCTGATGACTAATCAGCTCTTCCCTCCCTTATCCCCACATCCTGACAGTTTCACCTCCTAAACGGTCCTTGAATCAATGCTGAGCTCAAAGCCTCATGTTGCCAGCCTGGCTTCCTGTGATAACCTCCCACCTGGCCCCACCTGCAGGCACCTCTCCCAGCAGCGCACTCCTCCTTCAGCCCCCGCGACAGCCAGGGATGCTCCAGCTAATACACAAGTCATAGTTACCTCTTTTCAAAGGCTCCTCATAATCTACAGGATCAAGCCTAAGCTCCTTTGTCTGCTCGTCCAACCTCATCCCATACAGCTTGCTCTCTATCCTTGGGTCTTGCGGCCCCACCTGCTTGGAGCTCCTGCCAAACTGCCAGTCGGCACCTCCTGCCCACCTCTGCCCACCTCTGCCCAGAGTGCCTCGCCCATCACTTTCCTCCTGGCTCAGGCGGGTACCACCTCCCCCAGGTGCCAGCTGCCTGAAGACCCTGTGCATTCTGCTACACCTGCACCAACCACTGTCTGATGTACGTGTTTGTGTGTGTGTTTCCCCAGCAGAAGCGAGGCTCCTTTCGGGCAGGGGCCAAATCGCACCTGGAATCAGGCTGGCCGGCTTCCCCTGCAGAGCCGACCCACGTGGGCGGGGCAGAGTGACGCTCACCTCGTTGTTCCCAGCTCTGCTTGCTCCAGGATTCTGCCTTCTCTGGCCTGTTTCTTTTCCTCCCCTGTCCTCAAGGAAGCCTTCTTGGGCTTTTGTGATATAGAATCAAGAGGAGACAGGAACTGGCAGGGGTGGTGGTCCATAGGCCCCTTTCATAGTATTTGAAAAATCCGAGCAAAGGCCTGACTTACTTTGCAATTGCTTTTCAGGTCCTGGACTGGGTTTTTATGATCATGATTCCACTGAGGCCAGACAAAATTGGTGTCGGTTCCATAAGCATTTACGTATTTTTGATTCACTGACTGACTAAACACCAACACAGAGGGAGTGGGAGGTGCCGGAGGCAGCTGCAAAGGAATCAGGCAGGATTCTGCCCCCTGCCCTCCCCCACCCCGGCAGCAGGGGCTGGGGGCCAGCAGCTGGCGAGACAGCGGGAATCCCTTGGGAGAGCACGGTGACTGATCTCGCGTTGGTTTCCCCATCTCTCTGGCAGCAGTGCCTAAGGATAGATAATCTAGTCATCCTTTCTGACTTGAATGTTCCATCTCTCCCATACCTGATGTGCAGGATCTTCATGAACCTGGGGCAGGACCAAGAACTAAAAAGAGACAATGGGAAGGAATGTTCCAGGACCTGGGTTACAGTGGCAAGCTCATGTATCCCATGTCTTTACCCATCCCCCTCTCCTGTCATCTGTTGTGCCTGGTTACAGTGTCAGGTTGGGAGTGGGTGTGGGTTTAAATCGCAAGGAGGCTGTGCTGGGCTATACACTGGGAGAGCAGTTTGGGCTGTGAGGGGTATGCCTTGTCCACAGCATCAACCCTGGAGGTGGGTCCCAGTGCCGCGCCGCCTAGATCCCATGGGGCGCCTATGTTGCACAAGGTTTCGAAAAAATAAAACCTTCTCAAATTACAGTCGGTTGGCTTGTTCTTTGTCTCCTTTTATAGACCCCAAAGGGCTGCAGCCATGGAAAGGGAGGGGGTCCCAGGTGACAATGCGCTCACAGAGGCATCACAGGGCAGAGAAGCAGCCACCGGCGAGACTCGCTCCCTTTGCGGGCGTCCCCCTTGGCTCAGGCACCTTGGCTCCTTGTGTCTGGGATTTCGAGGTGGGGCCAGGCCTTGGCGCTTCAAGGGCCTTGGGAGGCCCAAACCTTGGCTAATTTGCCATTCGATTGCCGTAGCCACCTTTCTCCCTGCACAGCAGCTGTGATTGTAAATCTTTCAGGTCTATTAACAAAGCATTTGGGCTCATAAATCTTTTGGCCCTTGCTCTTCCATCCTCAACAAAACACTCTGCGTGTCTGAGGCTGATTTTTTCCCCCCTTCTAATTCCCCAAAGGTGGAGTCTAGGATAGCTCAGTGATGAATGCTTGTATGCTGCTCACATCTGACTTTTCAGGTTGGAGGCGGGAAAACCCCAGGAGGAAGACTGTCCCCAAGAGCCTCCCCAAGGAGAAGTCACCAAATGGGTTCACCTGGGCTTTGACATGAGGGAGGATGGAGGGCCCTCCCCACCACAGGCCTGAGCCCCTGGGCCACTTACTTGGGGGTCTGGCATCCTCGAGATTTGCCCATCATGCCCCAGGAGGTCTGCCTGCTGCTAAGGATGAAAGCCAGCACCAGCCATGCCCACTTCTCTGGGGAAAGGCCGCTCCCCCCGTCCCCCCTCCCCGGCTCACTCTTGGATAGATTTGCAATTTGACTGTCTCCATGGAAACTCAAGAGTTTGGGCACATGAAGGTGGGGGGAAGTCTTCTCTTTTGTAAAGACTTCTCCAACCACCTGAAACGGCAGGTGCGGCAGCGGCAGTCCTGTGGAGACACCTGGCAGGGGGCTGGCAGGATACTGGCCACTTGACCTCACGGGCCTGCACTGGGATTCGGGGGACTGGCTTTCTGGCTCTGTTCTGCCGCCACCTCTCTCTGCAACCCTGGGCACCTCTTGGGGTTTCATCACACATAACCCGGACAGCTGCTCCGAGTCTGGATTCGAGGGTTCACCCTCAAGTCTGATTTGTTCCGTCCATGGAGAGACCCCAACGCCCCTGTCTGGCTGAGAGGTAGGGAGATGCGACTTCAGTGCCACACAACGCTGCCCTGCCTGGCACAAGGACAGTGGCAGCCCGGGAGCTTGGGCGGCACCTGCGAGCTGCTGCCGCTCTGCTCAGAGGCTCCTAAAGCCCCAGAAATTACGGGAATTAGAGAGGAAGAGAGGTATTTTCAGCAAACACTCTGCCAAGGCAAAGCAGATGGTGGAAAGTTTTGCATACTAAAAACAACAAAAAATTTTTTAACGTAAAGGAAAAATGGTAAGGCCCTGGGGAACACATAGACACCCCCAATTAGCCTTATGCAGCCCACCAGCCTGGCATGGCTGCGGAGGAGAGTCCCACGCTGTCCCCACGGAGCCAGGTGAGGGCCGGGCCTGTAGCCTGGAATCCTACGGAG